AGCCACCGGGCGTCCCAAGTGCTAACTTTGCATTTCCCTCCTCTCCTAGCCCCCAGCAACCACCTGTCTACTTTCTGCCTCTGTAAATTTGACTACTCTGGTACCTTATATAAATGGAGCCACTTTTTTGGGGATTAGCTTACTTAGCATAATGTCTTCAAGGTTCATCCATCTTGTAGCATGCATTAGAATGTCATTTTTTTTTTAAAGATTTATTTATTTGAGAGAGCGAGAATGAGAGAGAGAGAGTACATGAGAGGGGGGAGGGTTAGAGGGAGAAGCAGCCTCCTCACTAAGCAGGGAGCCCGATACGGGACTCGATCCCCAGACTCCAGGATCATGACCTGAGCCGAAGGCAGTCGCTTAACCAACTGAGCCACCCAGGCGCCCCAGAATGTCATTTTTTAAGGCTGAAAATAAATACCATGTTTTGTTAATCCATTCAACCATTGATGGACCCTTGGCTTGCTTCCCTTCTCTGGCTGTTGTGAATAATTCTGCTGTGACATGGGTGTATAAGTACGTGTTTGAGTCTCTGTAATTCTTTCGGGTATATACCCAGGCGTAGAATTGCTGGATCCAATGACACATCTATGTTTAACCTTTGGAGGCACCGTCACCCAATTTTCCATAGTGGCTGTACCATCCTATACCCAGGAACAGTGCACCCAAGTTGAAAGTTTTCTCACAGCCTCACCAGCACTTGTCATTTTTCTGGATGGTTTTTTGTTTTGTTTTGCTTTATAATAGCCATCCTAATGGTTGTGACGTGGTATCTCATTGTGGTTTGGATTTTCATTTCTTTTTCCTTTCTCAGTGGTACTGTTTGTAGCACAAAAGGTTTTCATTTTAATGAAGTCCAATTTTTGGACCAATCTTTGTTGCTGGTGCTTTTGTGTCTGTCTAAGATATCACTGCCAAATTTAAGGTCAGAAGGTTTATTCCTATGTTTCTTCTAAGAGTTTTACAGTTTCAGCTATTACAGTTAGGCCTGTGATCTATTTTAAATTAATTTTTGTTTATGGTGTAAGGAAGAGATCCAACTTGATTCTTTCATATGTGGATATCCAGTTGTTCCAGTACCACTTGCTGAAAAGACTCTCTTTCCTATATTGAATTGTCTTGGCACTGTTGTCAAAAATTAATTGGCCATAAATGTGAGGGTTTATTTCTGGACTCTAAATTCTGTTACATTGATCAAATGCCTATCCTTATGCCAGTACTACACTGCCTTTTTTTTTTTTTTAAGACTTTATTTTTAAGCACTCCCTCCACCCAGCGTGGAGCTTGAACTCACAACCCTGAAATCAAGAGTTGCATGCTTCACTGACTGAGCCAGCCAGGCATCCCAGTACCACAGTGTCTTGATAACTGTAGCTTTGTAGCAAGTTTTAAAATCAGGAAAATTAAGTCTTCCAACTCTGTTTTTCTTTTTTTTTCTTTTTTTTTTTTAAGATTTTATTTATTTATTTGACAGAGAGAGACACAGCGAGAGAGGGAACACAAGCAGGGGGAGTGGGAGAGGGAGAAGCAGGCTTCCGGCTGAGCAAGGAGCCCGATGCGGGGCTCGATCCCATGATCTGAGCCGAAGGCAGATGCTTAACGACTGAGCCACCCAGGCGCCCCTGTTTGTCTTTTTCAAGCTTGTTTCAAGCTCTTCTGGATCTCTGGCATTTTCATATGAATTTTAGGATCATCGTTGAAATTTCTGCAAAAAAGGCATTTGACATTTTGATAGGGATTGCATTGAATCTATAGATCAATTTGGGGAATATTAATGTCAACAATATTAAATCTTTCTTTCCATGAATATTGTATATTTTTTCATTTATATAGGTCCTCTCTAATTTCTTTCTTTTTTTTTTTTTAAGATTTTATTTATTTATTTGACAGAGAGAGATAGCGAGAGAAGGAACACAAGCAGGGGGAATGGGAGAGGGAGAAGCAGGCTTCCCGCGGAGCAGGGACCCCGATGTAGGGCTCAGTCCCAGAACCCCGGGATCATGACCCGAGCCAAAGGCAGCCGCTTAACGACTGAGCCACCCAGGCGCCCCTCTAATTCCTTTCAACAGTGTTTTATAGTTTTCAGAGTACAAGTTTTACCTTTCTTAAGTTAAATTTATTCCTGAGCATTGTTTTCTTTTTTATTCTATTGTAAGTGGAAGTTTTCTTAATTTCATTTTCACATCGTTCATTGCAAGTGCACAGAAATACAAGTGATTCTTATACATTGCTGTTGTACCCTGCAACGCTGCTGAATTTGTTTATTCTGATAGTTTTTTAGTGGATTCCTTAGGGTTTTCTTTGTACAAGATCATGTCATCGGCAAATATAGTTTCATTTCCTTTCCAGTTTACCTGGATTTTTGTTTATTTTTTATTGCCTAATTGCCCTGGTTAGAACCCCTAATACAATGTTAAATAGAAGTGATAAGAGTGGGCATCTCTGTTATGTTCCTGATCTTAGAGGAAAATAATTCAGTCTTTACTATCAGGTATGCTGTTAGCTGTAGGTTTTTTGTAGATGCCCTTTTTTAGATTGAGGAAGTTCCTATCTCTTCCTAGTTTCAGTGTTTTTATCATAAAAGAGTATTAGATTTTGCAAATGCTTTTCTATGTCTATTGAGATGATCATGTGGGGTTTTTTAAATCTTCATTCTGTTGATATATTACATTGGTTTTCTTATGTTACATCAACCTTGTATTTCTGGGATAAATCTCACTGCTCATTATGTATAACCCCTTTTTGTATGTTGCTGTGTTCAGTTTGCTATTGTTTAGTGAGGATTTTTGTGTCTGTATGAATAAGGGATAATGGCCTATGGCTTTCTTTTCTTGTAATGCCTTTGTCTGGCTTTGGTATCAGGGTAATATTGGTTTTATAGAAAGAATCAGCAAGTCTTTTATTTTTTTCAAAAGTTTGTGAAGAATTGGTATTAATTCTTTAAATGTTTGGTAGAATTTACCAGTGAAGCCATTGGGGGTAAGCTTATTATGGGGTCAGTTTTTGAATTACTAATTCAGTCTTTCTACTTGTTGCTTTGTTTCTAACTTGTAGATCATGCAAGCTGCTTGTAGACACACATTTCTGTAAAAGGAGAAGAAATCTGGGAAGAATGGGCACAGCAGGAATTGGGAAATTTGAAGGTTTCTAGTTGGCTCTGCCTGGAGCTGTGCCTTCTCTCCCTTTATCGCCCCATGTCTCCTAGAGGAAGTAGTCTTCCTTCACCCTCATGAATGAATGCTTTTGAGGTTAGGACCAAAAAGATGGAAAAAGTAGTTGGTGTAACCACACCTGACAGAGCAGGGAATTAGTATTCAGACCAAGACAAGAGAGAGCAGAAGCTCTCTCAGGCCTCCCTGGGAGGCTTTGGGCTGGGGTGTGTGTGTCTGTTTTCATGTTCTGCCTTGCCTTAAATATTGATCAAAAGTGAAGAGTCTCCAGCTGTTGAGATTCCTAGATCATAACTGATAGACCACAGTGAACTACCATACAGCCATTTAAAGAATGAGGTAGTGGGGTGGCTGGGTGGCACAGTCGGTTGAGCATCCGACTCTTGGTTTTGGCTCAGATCATGATCTCAGGGTCCTGGGATCGAGTCCTTCATCAGGCTCCATGCTCAGCGTGGAGTCTGCTTGAGATTCTCTCTCCCTCTCCCCCCCCACTTGTATTGTCTCTCTCTCTCTAGAATAAATAATAAATCTTTTTTTTTAAGATTTTATTTATTTATTTGACAGAGAGAGAGCAGGAGAGCACACGCCGTGGGAGTGGCAGAGGGAGAGGGAGAAGCAGGCGTCCTGTGGAGCAGGGAGCCCGATGCAGGGCTCGATCCCAGGACCCTGAGATCGTGACCTGAGCTGAAGGCAGATGCTTAACGACTGAGCCACTCAGGCGCCCCAATAAATAATAAATCTTAAAAAAAAAAAAAGAATGAGGTAGCTTTTTATGTGTTGATATGAAATGATCTCCCAAGATGCATCATTAAACAAAATGTGCAAGGGGCTCCTGGGTGGCTCAGAGGGAGCCTCCTTCTCCCTCTCCCTCTGCTGCCTCCCCGCTTGTGCGTGCTCTCTTTCTCTCTCTGACAAATAAAATCTTAAAAAAAAACCAAACCACCAAAATGTGCAAAACAGTGTGCTGCCATTTGTTTTAGGAAAAAAAGGTGGAGAGACCCTGTAGATGCACACAGGCTGGTAAATGCGGAATACGTTTGGAAGGGTACCCAACAGAAGAGTCAGGGCTAGGGGGAGACTTCGTACCACATGGGTGTTTCCTTCCTTGTGGTTATGCTGTCCTAAACAGTGTTTTTAAAGTGCTGAGCCTGTGTGAAGTGCAATGGTGAGGCTATGAGTTGGCCGTGTTTGCATGTTTCTCTTGGTCAGCCCAGGCACTGTATCTGTGATTTCATGGAAACACCCGCCCCTCCAGACTGTGCATCTCTGCAGAGGTGTGTGGGACACAGTCCAGACCTCTGTGTACTTGAAGCCTCCAGTGTTCCTCAGAAATCCTTCTATCTGTCTACCTGTGGGAAGCCAGTGGCCAATCTCAAAAGCCCTCCACGGGTGGTTCCTTTTAGAAACACTTCCAGCGGCAGAGGAAAGGATTGAGACCAGGGGTGTGCTTCTCCATGGCGAAGTGCTTTCACTGCCCCACCCCCAGCCTCCCTGAGGATTTCTGGCCACGTGGCCCCACACTAAAGCACCTTATCCTTTCCTGGCAGACCTGATCATGGCTCCCCAGCCCCAAATAAGTCTTCGGGTGTGCCAGGCCGAGTGAGCACCCGCAGTAGCATCCTGTCCTTTTTTCCCGAAGGCTGGCAGAATTGGCAAGCAGGAAAAAACGTTTGGTTTGGGGGAAATATCCACAATCTTTTCTCCTATATGAGCAAATGCTTCCCCTGGAAGATGGGGGAGCTTCCCAGCCTAGGCTTCTCTCATACCAGGGTTTCAGACCTGGACGTAAGGCGTCTAACACTGAGCATCCTCGTGTGTCTCCCACAGAGAACACCTTCTGCAGCGGGGACCACGTGTCTTGGCACAGCCCTTTGGATAACAGCGAGTCAAGAATTCAGCACATGCTGCTGACCGAGGACCCACAGATGCAACCCGTGCAGACACCCTTTGGGGTAGTTACATTTCTCCAGGTGAGACTGAGGTTGGACATGGGCTCAAGCCTTCCCTGGATGAAAAGCCTTTGTAGTACAGGAGGGCTTGGGTAGGAGGAATGAAGGCAACAGGAGATTTCCTTCTCTTCTTGCATTTTCTCTTCCCTCTGCTGGCTCGTCAGATTCGGATGGTCTGATTTAGCCTGCTGAGATGGGAAAAGGGGGAAAGGGAAGGGGCCATGGGGGCAGGGGCGGGGGGTGCTGTGTGGAATGGCTGTAGTTGGGCGGCTAAGGCCAACAGGGCGGGTATTTTGGTGAACTGATAAAGACCCAGACAGCCGGGCGCCTGGGTGGCTCAGTTGGTTAAGCGACTGCCTTCGGCTCAGGTCATGATCCTGGAGTCCTGGGATCGAGTCCCACATCGGGCTCCCTGCTCGGCGGGGAGTCTGCTTCTCCCTCTGACCCTCTTCCCTCTCGTGCTATCTCTCATTCTCTCTCTCTCTCAAATAAATAAATAAAATCTTTAAAAAAAAAAAAAAAAAAAAAAGACCCAGACAGCCGTAGGCACGGGACCACCCAGCAGGAAGGCAGCTTTGGGCTGGCCTTGCCCTCACCGAGAAGGGGTGTGCATCCACCCCTGCTGCAGCTGCATTTGCTTGTGATCATGCTGGGGTCTATGTGAAGGTTCCCTTGTTTCCCTTGAGGTTTACACAAAGGCCCCGCCTCTGATGAGGAAAGAGAGCTTTTCTGCAAACTGCTGGGGCCCTTTGGTTGTTGTTCGGAGCTTGAAGGGCCTCAGAATCTCCTGTGTTTACATTCCCTGTGATCCTAGCCTAGGTCGGAACATCTCCCTGAACCTCTCCTGCCTCCAGAGACATGGGCTGAGGACCCATTCTGATGTTTGCCTCTGCAGTCCAGGGCTAGACATCGTATCACCCAGACACCTGACCCATTGCAGCAGGACAAGGGTCAGGCCTCAGTGCCCTGTCTGTGGACTCTTCCATCTCCTAAGGAAACCACCCCATTTTGGACAGACAAGCCCCGGGCCATAGATCCTGCCTGTGGTCCCCCCACTTGACTTGACCCTGAAAGAGCCTAGGTGGCAGTCCTCCTGGATGGGTGGGAGGAATGGCTGTTGGCATGCAATGGCGTCTTGTCTCCGGGTCTCAGATTGTTGGCGTCTGCACCGAGGAGCTCCACGCAGCCCAGCAGTGGAACGGGCAGGGCATCTTGGAGCTGCTGCGGACGGTACCTGTGTGAGTACATGCCCGCCCTGTGAGGTGGGACCTGGCTTCCTGGGCCTGGGGGTGGGAATTCCTCCTTACCCCCACATGCGGGCTTCCCCTTACGTTGTTTATCGGGCACTGGTTTTTCACAGCAGGGGCTCCTGATGATTCACTCCCTGACAGTCCCTGACCTCGAGCTGCTCCTCTGCGCTCTGGGCCTGGGGCAGCAAACAGGGCGGTGTGGAGGCCCAGCGCATCGGCCCGGACCCTCAGTTACCGTCCTACCCCTTTCCTTGTCCACAGCGCTGGCGGCCCCTGGCTGGTAACTGACATGCGGAGGGGAGAGACCATATTCGAGATCGACCCACACCTGCAAGTATGTCTTGAGTGAGGAGAACCTTTCTAGCACACTATGCCTAGGCCTCTTCCAAGTAACACTGGCTTTCATGCTGGGAAAACGGAGGAGATTTATTTGTGAATGAGTAGAAATATGGCATGATTTGGAATTTGTCCCCCGAATTCCTCAGAGCACATAGGGAGCAGAGATTTTAGGCCAGGAAAGCTTGCCTGAGACACGTGGTTTTTTGCATTTAAAAAGGGTGGGATTAAATTGACTTTTATATTACAAAGAGATGGAAATTTATAATACTGAGATTGTTTGGGATGATACTACAGTAATATCTTGGTTAGATATTAAATAAAAAAATGAGGATCCATGCTTACTGACACTTTAAAACGTAAGAGCAGTTCTTGAGATATTGGAACTACATCAAAGAAAACAAACTGGAAATTGTACTCATAAAAAAACAAACTAAAAAAGGGTGTTGGGGGGAGAATGAATTTTATTGTAGGCAAGTCATACATCAATAAACCTGACTTAAAAAAAATAAGATCACCAGCTTTTCACTGTAGAAAATCAATATTGCTTGCCCAGGATTCAGCCTCCCATTTCTTGCTTCTCAAAAGAACATAGACTTTCCTTCGGAGCCACCTCCCTACCACCAGCACCCTGTAACACACAGGACGAGTGATACTGACCCCACGGCCCAGCTGCAGTGGGAGTCGTGATTGGTCTAGTGATCGCATGCCCCTTTTAGATACATCTCCGGCTCGTGCAGTCAGACTCCGAGCTCCTCCCCTGGGTAGGCTGGCATTCTTGGGCATATAAAGGAAGTCGGTATACGTGCAGGCCTGCAGGTGCCCACTTACTGTGGCCCAGCTGTGCAGTGACATCTTTGGTTTCTTAGAAGAAACACGCTTTGTGTGCCAGTTAATTTTGAAAACCACCTAGAGCATAACTTCCTTCCTAATGGGCTGCTCATGAAAGAGAGCAGTGGACAGCTAAGAATGTTCCTGGCATGTATACACTTCCTTCTCCTTCCCCTGACCAATTGTAGGCCATTGCCATCTCTGAAGCTCTCATGTCTCTCAAAATCTGGTAGGCGGTGGGCAGCTGCCGGGAGCTGCGTGTCCTCCAGGAGGGACGTGAGGTGGGAGGGGAGACGTAGCAGGCAGACGTACGGCCAGCAGTCCCTGTGGGCCCTTTACTCTAGACCTGTGAGATCTTGGGCAGAAACCCTTCTCATTCACACATGATGCTCCTCTATTTTCCTAGTGCCTTTAACACTGAAGTTTTCAAATTGTTGCCAGGATCCTCTGTTAGCTCTCCTTTAACGTTGGTTTCCCTATAGCTTCTGCTTATGCAAAAACCAGGAACCATGAAGGCTATGTTTCCCTTGTTCTGCAGCCACACTGGGATCCAGCATGGGGCACTGTGGGCTGCCATTTAGCCTCGGTCATAAGCGCCAAGTACTAAGAAAGAACTTGGTCATTTGAACTAGTAGGGTAAGCAGCCCGTCCTTCTCTGCATGCCAAGAGCAGTTCTCCATCCTAGTCCTCGGGCTCTGCTGAGATCAGCCAGCAGGACCCAGAACACCCAGTGGTCTTTAAAAGCAAGTGGTGGGAGGGGGGGCTGGCTCAGTTGGTGGAGCATTCAACTCTTGATCTCGGGTCATAAGTTTAGGCGCCATGTTGGGCGGAGAGTTTACTTAAAAATAAAAAATTAAAATATATTAAAAAAGCAAGCAGGTGGCCCTGTGCACCAAGTGGGAACTCTTCTGTGCTCATCTCTAGCTGTCTGGGGTCTGCTTGCAGGTGGTTCATTTTAGAGCCGGCTCCTATTCCTTTGCTCCAGGCTCTGCTGCTAGCCAGCTCTGTGCCTAAAGAAGTCCCTTAACTTCTCTGGGGCCTCTTTCATTTTTACTTATAAAGTAAGTGGGCTGAACTAGTTGAGTCAAGAGGTATCCTCAGCTCCCTGCTTAGGTGAGGGGCCTCAGGGCAGCCAATGGAAAGGGTAAAGCTCCGACTCTACCCTGAGCAAAGCAGGGCCCACACATCCTGCTTGGAGCACAGAACTGCTCCTGTCGTCAGCTTCTCCCTGTTTGTGCTCAGAATCCTCAGCTTTGGGGTGCCTGGCTGGCTCAGTCAGTAGAGCATGTGACTCTTGATCTTGGAGTTTTAAGTTAGAGCCCCATGTTGGGTATAGAGATTATTTAAAAATAAAATCTAAAAAAAAAAAAAAAAAAAAAACCCAGCTTTGCCCGGGCTGATTGTAGCACTGGAAAGGAGGCATCAGGGCAGGGCCATCTGCTGACTGGTCTCAAGAAATAAGGAGCTTCCCTCGTGTTTCCACAGATAGGCTTCCTGGCCGAGCAGCAGGCCTGTGTGGTGCCTGTGCAGCCCCCGGGAGAGGGTCAGGCAGACAGGGAGGTGCAGATTCCTACTGAGGTGCTTTCACTCACGAGCTTTATTTGGCCCACATGGCTGTTTATAAGCAACGTTGCTAGAGCCTTCCAGATGACCTTTAATCCAACGCCCAGCATCACAGAACTGTGTTTTACCAGAAATCCCAGGGATGTTTGGGTACAACTCTTCCTTGAGGCCATTTGGAGAGAGTTGGGACTCCACAGTGCCAAGGCCTACACAAAGCAGGGCCTCTGATGGGGTCTGCAGATGGCCATTGCCCTCCAGGCCCCCATCTCAGTCTAAGAAATGGAAAAGAAACTCCATCCAGAGTCCTTTGCCAAACAAGTTAGTGATCCAGCTGGGCGAAGTTCTGCCCTTCTGCTCTCTGGTGGGTGCTTTTCTGGGTGACCGCACCCTCTGCTGTTGGAAGAGGGAACTGCAGGTGTGAAGTCGCCCAGTCCTGGCCTCTCCTGCCTGTGGCCCGCTTGCACCCTGTCCTCTGTAGCAGTAACTGGGGGGTTTCTCCTGAATGGCCAGGGAGGAGAGGAAGGAGTGTGCCTTCCCTCAGGGCAATAGTTCCTGGCTCTGCCACATCCGCTCCACGGGCCTGCATGGGGTGGCCAGAGTTAGGGCTCTGAAACAGGTGTGCAGGTGGTTTTACTGGAAGGTCCAGATAGAGGATGAGCTTTCCTTGGGATTTTCATGCTTCCTGGCTTCCCCTGATCCCTGATTTCCCCCAAGGAGTCCATTGGCTGGCAGAGACCATCATGTGTTAGCAACCAGGGCAGAACAAGATCAGACATCCTGCTCTTCCAGCACCCATTCCGTGCTCAGCACCTACAAGAATTCAGTAAATACTGGAAAAGGGGTGGTGACCATGGGCCACTGGTTCGCTGAAAGAACTCTGGCTCTTTGGTTCTTTCCAAGCAGGAGAGAGTTGACAAAGGCATCGAGACAGACGGCTCCAACCTGAGTGGTGTCAGTGCCAAGTGTGCCTGGGACGACCTGAGCCGGCCCCCTGAGGACGATGAGGACAGCCGGAGCATCTGTATCGGCACGCAGCCCCGGCGGCTGTCCGGCAAAGGTAGCTGCTGCCACCCAGCCCTCCCCTCCCCTGTGCCCAGGCCCGGTTTTCAGGCTCTCTAGGATGGGGCTCCAGAACCAGCAGCCCATTCAATAGTTTCTTTCCTGGCAGGATTGAAACAGCAAGAAGTCTTCCAGTGGGGTGGCATGAAGGGAGTTTTATTGGCCTATTTCTCTTGTGTTTCCTGTGTGTATTTCAGATGCACCGCCAGCGGTGACCATTGTGTTTTAGATTTGCCCCCTTGCAATCTGAGGTCATGGAGGTGAGTGGAAGCCACAGAACAGTTACAGGAAAAGGCCATAGTCCACCCAAGTGCAAAAGAACAAGCATCGGCCACCCACAGTATTGAAACAGGGCCCAGCTCTGGCCTGAAAGCCATGCCAGACCCAAGAATCACTCTGGCCTCAGGCCCTCCCAGGCCAGAGTGTGAGGCCAGCTCACAAACTTCCCTGCCTCCCTGTCCTGCAGATACAGCATGAGGGGCCATGTGCCAGGCACCCTGTACCCACTGCCTTCTGCACGGGGCCTTGGGGAAGAAGGATATGGCTCTCCTGCTGGAAACTCACCAAGGTGGTCTTGGTTGTAGAAACAGCTGTGGTTCTTAGCAAAGGGTATCCCTACCTAACTCCGAAGGGGAAGCAGCCATTTACCTATATGTATGTTGACAGCTTGTTTTTCTACTTTCTTTGTCTAGTTCCTCCACCTTTTCTTATTGTTTGAAGAATAAGATACCTACAGTCCTGAATAAAATGCCTGCACATGTGATAGCACTTATGGGAACTATTCTCTTTCCGTAAAGGACAACTTAAGCTCCTAGTGCAAATATCTGACCCCCTTTTGCCTTCCTGCTTGTTCTGATGGTGTGCTAATAAGCCCATGGGAGGTTCTGAGAGAAAGCATACAGTCATTCGGTTGCTTTTGACGAAAGAGGTAATTTAAGGAAGGATTCAGGGCACCTGGGTGGCTCAGATGGTTAAGCGTCTACCTTCGGCTCAGGTCATGATCCCAGGGTCCTGGGATCGAGTCCCACATCAGGCTCTCTGCTAGACGGGGAGCCTGCTTCTCCCTCTGCCTCTCTCTCTCTCTCTCTCTGACTCTCATAAATAAATAAATAAAACATTTAAAAAAAAAAAAGGAAGGATTCATAGTCTTGTCCAAAATTTCAGCCATTATTGGCTAATTTTTAAAAATTATAAAAGTAACCCATACCACTGTAACAAGTCAGACAGAAAAGTTAGTATTATTGCCTCTGTAGTCCACTCTAAGCCCACCCTTTGAGCAACCAGCATTAATTTGCTTTTTTGGATATGTCTGCTGTTTGTATAGGTAAATCGTAGACCAAAATCTCTATAGCAGACCAGAATAGTGAGCTTCACCCCAAAGATCAGCAAAGTACCTTGCAAAGAAATAGTCCCACCAAGAGATTCCTCTCTTACCCTCCTGGCCCTTGGCAGACCCATGGACAGGCAGGGTTCCCTGGGACCAATGTGGGGAGCTGACCTCAGCATCCCACCGGCCCACCCAAGAAGGGTGGCAGGGTACCATCTGACCACCCAAAGCCCAGAAACTACATAAGAGTTCATTCATGGCAAAGCACTTACAGCCCTTAGTGGCATCCCTTGCAGTGGGCAGAATCCCCAGGTGGGCTTGGGCAATGGCAAAGACCTTGTTAGTCACTGTCTGGGGCTATGTTAAGGGTAAATCTGGGGCCTGTGGCACAGGAAAGCGAAGGACAATGAAGAGCCCTATCTTGGAAGGTGCCCTTCTGAAGTCCAGAGGCCACCGCCTCGTCTTTGACAAGAATGGCACTCTTCAGACCAGAAATTTCTTGAAAGCATAGTTGCCTCATCTGCCCTGTGTCCTCACACTGCTCTCGCTCAGCTCTCAAGGCTGATGTCTAGAGTGGGCTCACGGCTTTCCTAGGACCTTTTAGCATGTCTGCAGAGCCCAGCTCCAAGCACGGGGTTGAGGGATGTTAGGAGCCCAGAGAGCCATCAGGCAACTTAGTGGTGTTGTTGCAGACACGGAGCAGATCCGGGAGACCCTGAGGAGAGGACTTGAGATCAACAACAAACCTGTCCTTCCGCCAATCAACCCTCAGCGGCAGAATGGCTTCACCCACGACCGGGCCCCGTAAGTTCTTTGTCCACAGAGGGAATTCGTATTCCAGGGCTGGTACAAGGGGGGCAGTTTCGTCCTGAAATGTCTGTCCCTGGGGCTTGCATGAGAGAGAACAATGCCCGTAGCCATTGCTGGATGGGCCCGGGGTCTCTGGGGCACACAGATCTGTGGGTCATAGGAAAGGGCCTCAGAGGGGTCCCAGCAGACTAGGAATATAAACATCAGTAAATATTTACATGGACTGTGTGAACAGACAGGAGGCCAAGTTGGGGCAAAATCCCAGCCTTGAGGGAGCCCATTGTGCTGAGCACGACTCCCCTCCTTATCTCGGCCTCGGCCAGAGTTGCCCTTCCTTCCTTCCTGGAGCCTGGTCTCCGGCTGATAGCTGCAGCCCCAGGGGCCTCCCTGTCTGGCCAGCCCCATAGTGGACGCCTGCTGCAGAGGCCCTTTTTCCTGCCTCCCTTCCATGGGGCCCAGAGGAGGGAAGGGAAGTCCTTTACAGGCCTCTGCTGCCTGTCTAGGGGCCCGTATAGCCCTTTGGGAGAGACTGTGGCTAGCCCCACAGAGGTCAGACCCTCTTCCTGCTGACCTCTCTTCCTCTGATAGGGGATGAATGGTAGGCAGGGCTGGAGCTGGGCACCCCCCTCTGCCCTTTGAATCAGGGAAGCTGTGGGGAATAGCTGCTGGCAGGGGATGCCTGGGAGTTGGCAGCCCAGAGCAGAACTCTTGCTTGCCAGGGAGGAAGTTGCTGTGCCCTGGGCTCAAAAGGAAGCACAGCACTCCTGCAAGACCAGGGTGATCGGTCCTTCTTCTGAGAAGTCTTTATTATACACTTGCTGTGTGGCAAGCTCAGGGCCCAGGGGGCCATCTAGGATATAGGCTCTTCCTTTGGAGGTGCATGAACTGAAATTGGTGTGAGTCTGGCTGTGGGTGCTTTTTGTTGGAAATAGCTACTTCTTTGAATTCTGGCTCCAGCTGCTCATCCATGATCTCCGGAAGTGGTAGTGATCTAATATTCTACAGAAAAGACAAGTTGGCATGATCCGGAATAGTTAGGGAGGGCTTCTTGGAGGAGGAAGAACAAGAGACGGACCTTAAAGTTGCCCTAGACTTTTCAAGCAGGAGAAGGAGCTGACAGGGATGGAACAGGGGAGGCCTGGCTAGCAAAAGTCAAGGCTGCAACCCAGGAGCAGATTGTGGGGTAGGGAGAGTTACTGTTTTTGTTTTTTTTTTTAATTAAAAATTTTATTTATTTGAGAGAGAGAATGAGAGAGACAGAGAGAGCACAAGAGGGGGGAGCGGGAAAGGGAGAAGCAGACTCCCCGCTGAGCAGGGAGCCCGATGCGGGACTCGATCCCGGGACTCCAGGATCATGACCTGAGCTGAAGGCAGTCACTTAACCAACTGAGCCACCCAGGCGCCCTAGGGAGAGTTACTCTGGATGCCCAAGATGGCTCACCTGGAATCTGCTATCCAGAAGCCACGAAAGTTGAGCTTTTTGGCAAGAGCCTGGAGAAGCCTCCACTGCCACCTCCAAGCAGCTTTCAACCCCAGCCAGTGAGTTTCTCCAGCCATCTGCTTTGAAGTAGCTGGCATGAGGCACCATGATCTTCCCCTGGCAGCAGCAGATGGCCAGGCTGAGGTGTAGGGCGTCTGGAAGCTCTCTACCTAGGAGCCCATGTCCCGGGGCCATGCTCCTTCCCATGCCCTGAGCTTGGCTTCACCCTCTAGGCCCCGTTGGCACTGGCGGGGAGGCTGGGAGGTACTTGAAGGCTTAAAGCCTCAAGCATATTGCCTATAACTTGTAGACAGTCTCAGTTCAGATGGCCCTGTCCCCTCTGGAAGGTCCAAGTTTCTGGGCAGAAGGGCAGGGGCTCCTGCATAGACACACCCCACTTGCGGCTCTTGTATATGTGGAGCAGGCTTGAGATCTCACTTGCTGTCCTGGGCAGACGTTCAGCTGCTGCACTTCCAGACATCGCGGGGGGCACAAGGCTCAGGGTTCCTGGATGCATAGATACAGCCCAGACTCAGCCCACCCCTGACCGCGCAGAGGGGCACTGGATCTGGTCCAAGGGCTATCTGTAGATACAGGGTAAAAGCTGCAGCCTCCACCTTTGGCCTGAGTTGACTGAGCTACAAATAGATGGGTGGAAATAGATCAGGGGTGCCAACCCTTTGGGGTCATCTGCCCTCCCTGCAAGCTCAAGTGACCAGTCAGGTCTCCACAGTGGTGGAATCTGCAGTCCGGAGGGAATCAGAATGTCTGTTCTGAGGTTCTCAGTGCTTGTTACCAATTTGTTAGCCATTGGTTGAGAAATGGTTCCTGCTGCTTTGCCAAGATCCTTTTCCAACGCACCCCTCCAGTGTCTTAAGGCTCTGGCTCGCTGTTATCTCACGATCGATGATGATGGACTCAGTTTAGATTAGCAAGCACGACTGTAATATCTATGCTGGCCACTCTGGGACCTGACCCCATTTCAGATAAACCACATGGATTGCGACTGAGAAAGCCGACCCAAGATGTGCTGGCACTGGTGTTTGCTCCTCTCCCTGTGGGGGAGCAACCAGCACAGGCCTCACTGTGTGTGCATGTCTCATTTTCCTTTAGTCAGGCTTTCTAGGCTGGGGCGTGCTGGTTCCACATGGGTCTGGGAATGGTCTGAGGGAGCTACAGTTCAGAAGGGCTGATGGAGCCCGGGCATTAGCAGCTGGGCTCTGGCCTACTTGGCGGGGGGCGGGGGGGGGCGGCAAGCACTTGCTCTTTTCATTCCCCGCTAGCAGCTAACACTTACATAGTGACGACTGTGTGCCAAGTAGTGTTCCAAGTGCTTTATACCACATGACCTTCGTTCATTCTCACAGTCACTCTGTGAAGTAATCTTACCATCCCCTTTTATAGATGAGGAGACTGAGGTACAGAGAGGCCAGTCAGTGACTTGTCCAAAGTTAGAAAAGGGTGGTACTTAGGGCAGTCTTCCCTAGCGTGACCTTCCTTACCCCATTCTCAGGGACCCCATGAGGGACACACAAGGCTGTGTCTCTGAGGTGGTAGTGACCCTCATTGGTGGACCTCATCTGTCTAGTTGGAATAGGAATAGGCACCTGTCACGTGACACTGAAGACAAGGCTAAGCCCCCTGTTAGAAGCTTACTGTGCATATTTAACTCTAGGGAAGACAGTGGTCAGCTTTGGTGCTTCTAAATCCCAGAGATAACAAGCTGTATCGTAATTGGCTCGTTTATACCAGAATTACTTTCTGACACAAAACCTTGTTTTCTTTACGTTCAGAAGCAAAACCAACCCTATCTCTGTCCCCTCTACCTCCTCAGGGCTAGGGGATTTCTTTCTTTCTCTCTTCAGGCCTTACTTCCTGCTTCCCAGAAAGGCAGGCCCCTCTGGGTAACCTGCTCCTCTCCCACTTGCCCTCGCCAGCCCTCCTCCCACCGCCTTCCCAGAAGGAGAGTCCTTGGCCCGTTTTGGGGCTTCTTGCAGGGTTTCACAACCCTTGCATTCCAGCCGTGAAATTTGTATCTGGCTTTTCCCAAGATGATCAGTTGAGAAAAGCCTCCTTCGGCTTGCTGGCGCCTCCCTTCCCACTGCCTGCCCGGGTGAGTTGGGGAAGCATGGGAAGCCACTCTTTGCTGCCACTGAGGAGAGCCTGGCTTAAGGACTGTGCCTGCCAACACTTGTAAGAACCCGAGGGGGAAAAAAGGCCCCGGGCATCTTCCCTGTCTGAGGTTGCCTGGACTGTTCTACGGAGTTTGGATTTTGCTCCCCAGCCTCTCCACGGGGACTCAGAGGAAGTGTGTGGTCAGGTGCATCGGGTGGGGAGCTTTGCATTTCCATAAACTTTTGCTCCAATGCTGGGAACCTGCAGCAGTGTTCCAGAACTTCCTCCTCCCTCCACCAGGGTCTCACTGCCTGAGGTCAGAGGACCTTTACGAAGAAGCTCTGGGGGTCACATACCCTCCCGGAGAGGGGCAGTGCTGTGTGTGTGTGTGTGTGTGTGTGTGCATACGGGTGTGTTGGCGGGGGAAGGTCCCTGACTGTGAGAAAAGCACTTTGTAGTTGAGGCACCTTTAAAAAAGCAAACTAACCGTCATTTCTGAGCCAAGTTTCTCAGTCTTCTGGAATCATGCCAGCAGCTTTTAAGGCTTTTTTTTTTTTTTTTTTTTTGGTGCCTTTTTGCCTTAATTTCCTGAAGAATAAAGGTTTTGTAGTATGAATTCTCTGGTTGTGACTTTCTCCGCTGCACAGCCCCCCAGCCCCCCAGCACACACACGTGCTTGCACGTGTATTTCTCTGCACTTTTAGGAGTGTCTCTGCTCCCATCTGTTTGCCTGTCAGATGGGGTGACCTTGCTGCCTCTGCTCCCATCTTGAGTAGCTTATAACCTGGCCAGGGAGTCATCCTTTAGAGAAACTTTGTTTTGTTTTACTCACCCTATGAGGCCCATGACGATTAATTAGAAGAAGAAAATACCTAGTCTGCGCCCAGTGAACTGGGTGAAGGAAGGAGAGTTTCCATCTGGGAAAACAGCTGGGCCCCTGGCACTCACAGCTCATGCACAGGGCAGTCTTGGGTGACCCTATTCAAAGTGTCTAGCGCGTCTGCAGCGGCCAGCCCGGAGCCTGCGCCTGTCCCGCTGGCCTCCTTCACCACTCCCACGCTGGGGGAAATACGGTTGTTTTCACTGGAGAGAAGACCCAGAAAGAAACAGCCCTGCCCTCAGGGCCCCAGCTGGGTCCCGCAGGGCTGATAGGAGGAAGGGCCCAGGCCTCTGTGATTCACGTGTGTCCTGCAGAGTGCCTGCCTTTGTGCGCCTTTCTCAGAGACACACGTTTGAGAGGGCAGAACGAGGGGCTCCACAGCAAACCCGGCACAGGTAAATTTCTGTTTGAACTCCTTTCTCTGCTCCACTTCCCCAGAGAGATGGAGCCACAGCCACTGTTTCCACCGTAGCTTTGGAGTTCATGGCCTGCGTGTTGAATCCTCAGTCCACGCGCATC